TTGAGCTTTTATCCAGTCAATTTTACACTCCTGTTGAACAGGTGCCTGTAAACTACTCCTCCCGGGACAGCTGTTCAAGTCTGTAGCTTGAGTTCTGCTCTGGTTGAAATGAACAGTATTTATAGGGTCCTGGGATTATTTCCAGCCAGGCCGACCGACTGCCAGTGGAATCGTGCTTTGCATGGTTTATTTTGCTCGCTTGTTTTTGATGCACATACAGTCAGAGTGACAGTTCGTACCATATGCATATGCTAAAGGTTCACAAACCCACTTGCATCTCCTGACAAACTGCTTCTGGATTTATTCTTGTACTTTTATAGGTCTGTCATCACATGTGTGTCACCCCTCCACTGGTTTCGTATGTCGGTAAACAGAATCTTTGCCCTCTTCAGAGGCTTTCGGGTTGTTCTACTTGTCCTGCGCTACCCGCCCCTCACCCACCTTTAGAGGACATGGTATTGACCTTGCTCCCTGATGGGCGGGGATGGGTGTTTACAGTTCATGCCTTTGCTCTGATCTGAGCTCAAGGGCTATCTCCATACATGGATCCCAAAACATTTTGTTCACTTTGAGAATAGTGCAGTAACTTTTGCTTTTAAAGAGTACTAATTTCAATTCACAACCGCTAAGGGGTGCTGAACCGTTCGATGTGGGCAGGGCCACTTTTACTAAAAGGGCTACAACTCTTGAACGGAATGAGATATTTTCACCAAACTCAGTACAGGTGTATGGGCTCAATCTATGGTCACAGTAAAGAAATAGCGCCACCAAGTGCCCAATTTGGATGCAGTGTTTTGGTCCAAGGAGCCATGGTTGTCTGATAACATTGGCCTATCTAAAAAAAAATGGCCGCCATCGGCCAATGAAATTTGAGCACCAATTAGACTAGGTTAACGGCGGCTGATCGGAACGAAACTCTGTGGGCATGTTTCACTCATGGTCCTAGATGTCTGTAAGAATTTTGAAATAAATCGTCCACTAGGTGGCGCTAACAAGTTTTATGCCTCTGTAATCACGTGGTATTTCACACATCCACACAATAATAATATCATTTGATTGATCTCCTCATACAGAACCACTGCTGTAAATCAAATCATTCATTGACTTTTCGCGATTATGTAAAAAATACCTACTTTTGCGATCTAGTCCTAGGTTTTTCGCTCAATCTGAATAAAACCAATGCAGTACAATTCTCTGGACTTTCTAGGTCAATAATTATCAAAAAAGTTTAACTTTTGCATTTGGATGGTCAATGCCACATTTTGAAATGACACTATTGTAGCCAAGTGTCCCTGAAAGCCTAAAGGAATCCCTTAAGGAATGCTTAGATCTTCTTGAAAAGAAGCATATGTGACGCATGACTCTAAACAAGCATGTGAGTCAAGCCATATAACAGTCAAGGTGAAAAATGCTATATTCCTATTATAAATTCCCTGAAATTGCCATAACCACCAGATGGCAGCAGAGGACCACTCATTGGCTCATTCTGCTCACTAATATTCTTTTTAGAGGTTGACCGATTCATCAGTTTTGCCGTTTTTACCCCACTAATAATGCCCGGAATGGTACCAAATTTCTACAGTAGTACAAATAGGTTATGTACTCCTAAAACAAAGGAGTTTATTTAAATAGCACTTGCCTGATGGCTTATGCTACCGCTAACCCGGACGTCGAGGTCACTTCAGTGATTTTGGAAAAACCCGTAAAAGTCCTGGCAGAAAGCAATGCATAAGGATGTAGTGTAACGAGGATCCGAGATCCCTCGTTGTATTAGTACAGAACCTATTTGTACTACTGTAGAAGTTTGGTACCATTCCGGGCATTATTAGTGGGGTAATTTACGAGATACAACCTAGTTATTGGTATCGGTAAAATCCACTATCAGTCAACCTCTAGTTCTTTTCAAGGGTTTTTTCATTTGAAGTCATATTTAAACTTTTTAAATCATTATAATAACATTACAAATCGCATTTTGTCAAGGTTTACCTCATTTATTCATTTGAGTTATGTTTTTGCAATTTCACATGATTACAATGAGACATGAGAAAATGATGTTTTAAAAGTGAAACCTCGAATAAGCATTTTCTCACCTATCATTTATTTCAAATATCTATGTCTTCAACAAAATGTGTGAAAATCACTAGGAGACTCGGAGGAAGCATTTAGTAATTATTTATTTCAAATATTTGTTATTTTGTCAATTCATCACTTCATTTCTATTGAAGCATCAGTTGACAACTGTGCCACATAATAATTAATGTGAAACCTGAAAACGTTGTTATAAAGAGGAGACTTGCACTAAGGGTTTTAAAGCTGCAGTCGGCAAGTCTGGCAGATTGAGTGGACTTTTTAATGTTTTTAATGAATTTTTAATGTTTACAACTCTAATGGCCCTCCCCCACTATCAACGAATACCCTCCCACCGAGTTTGTGCTCGTCAGTGCGTGTGCACCAGATTTTCAGTGAACGCGCCCGTCTCATCAGCATCCAACAACACCATGGATTATTTGGAGGTATGCTGTCCTGGCTAATCTACAGATAGATTGCTATTGCTAACGTCATTTATACTCTAAATGAGCTTACCTGATTTTACGCCATCACTCTTCGTTGCTGCGCGAACTTCAGGCGTGTGCATGTGATTGTAACGTGCGCGAGGGGTGGCGTGTGCCCGATCTGTGATTGACAGTCAGATCTCGCACCCCCCTGCGCTGATTGGACCCGATGATCCGGGAGCTGTGGATTTTTGCAAAACAAATAACACGCTCCAGGTGGAGTTAGAAGCTCGGGTTTTTTTCTAAAACCACTTTATTTATGTTCTGTGGGATTATAGTGTCGATTTCACTAAATATGATCAAAAAAAATTTTGCCGATGGCAGCTTTAATACCTATCTTTTATTTCAAATATCTGTATCTTTAACCGTGTGTGTGTGTATTCTCCATCGTGAATGTGTTATGGTGTCATCCCTAATTTGAGTCAGCCTAGACCTAATCAGCACCCATGTCATAAAGGCCTTAAACTCTTGAACCTCGATAATTGCTGCTTGCAATTTTTTTCTGTAATATCAATTATATCTTTATCATGAATTCTTTTGGCCATGATAATTGTGTAGTAAATTTTATATTGTGACAGCCCTAATGCTCACATTCACAGTGTATTGTACGTTGATCATTGCCATAGCAACAGTATCCATGGCAGTGCCTGGGAAAGCGGTGTCATAGGCACTCGACTGGGTCTCAGTCGGTGTATTAGTAAGCGTTTCAGGTGGACCCTTCTCCTCCCCGCTGAGATCCACCACTCTGTGGTCGTTTGTGAAGCGGGCATGCTAATTGAGGTGTCTGACTGAGCAATGATCTGAAAGCATCATTGGAAACATTGGGGGAGGGACGGATGCCGACAATGTACTTGTAATCAATGTGAACAAGAGCTGTTTAGGGCCGGTCAAGTGGTCTTTAAACGACTTCCCTTGGAATTCTGTCTTTGTATTACTAAACGGTTCATGCATAAGAGGCGTCCAATGGGAAGTGGATATGCTTTTAAAATAAAATGTTTTTAGCATTGCTCCATCCAACTTTAACTTCTTTATAGTGGACATTTTTATTTTATTTATTTAGATATATTTTTGCTATGTTATAGTAATGTTACTGTAGATTTGCTTGATATGAAGATTGAAAAGTATACCATAGCTTGGTGTCCCATATTACCCAATTTCTTTCAAAAAAGCCTCAAAAGAGGGCTTATCATTTTGACCAGGTTCAAAAACAGTGCAATTGGTATGAACTGAACAATCAGGCTCTTGAGAGGTGTTGAAAGCTTGGGTGGTAGGTAATTGTTGTCTTTGAAATAGGCCCACCCTCAAGAGCCTAAAGTTTTTTTTTTGTTTTTTTTTAAGAACAGTTTAGCACATCCAACTGTTCAGACAGCTCTACTGTAGCATAATGGCTTTCTTTTGAGGCAGCTGTTAACCCAGGCCAATCAAACGGTCATGCACACCAACTGCAGACCATTTTAAATGATCACCAGGAGAATTGTGCTCAAAGAGCCTCATTGCTTTGCCCGTTCTGCTTAAAATTGAAATATTTTTGGTCTCCACTTAGATCAGTGCGTTAGTCTGCAATGGACTTACACTGATAAAAAAAAAAACTAGCTTTTTATGTATAACCTGTACATTTTTAGAGACTAAATTTGGCTGATATGCAGAGATTTTAAGTAATATTCTATAGGGATGCTCCGATCAGAGTTTTTGCAGCCGATAACGATTACAGATTGATCGGCCGATCCTGATCATTCAAGCTTTATTTAAATAACGATTAAGCTCTCTGTTGAATGTCAGTTTTTTTTTTCTAGATAAGTAATATCACAGATGTAATTTACAGTAATGCTATATATTGTTTTAATTGCGAATCAAATAAGCACAACAAATATTAATTTTACTATGAACATTTTAACAGGTATTTTTTTATTGCTGCTCACAAAACTTAGTGTGTTCTGAACAACATTATGACCATACTATAAATTAGTAGAAAGACTACTAGGTACCAGAATTTTTATATTTTTACAGTCATTTTTCTGGTGAAATTGCATGTGGCGGCTAACTGACTAATTGTGAATGTGGTGGTGCTAAATATTCTACTCCGATTCCCAGCTTGTGTTAATGTGCTCTGGGGTAATAGCTGCTGTTTGAAGAACAGCAGTCTTTAACTCGCTGTGAGGCTGCATTAGTGAGGCCTGTCATATATGGCAAGAAAGTGTCACAATCTCTCACACTGACTCAAAGTTTGATGTCCTGTAAAAAAAAAAAAAAAAAAAATTCCTGTCATCACTGCTGCTAACATCTCTCTCTCTCTCTCTCTCTCTCTCTCTCTCTCTCTCTCTCTCTCTCTCTCTCTCTCTCTCTCTCTCTCTCTCTCTCTCTCTCTCTCTCTCTCTCTCTCTCTCTCTCTCTCTCTCTCTCTCTCTCTCTCTCTCTCTCTCTCTCTCTCTCTCATCGTCTGTTTCTCAGGAGGAGCAGAACAGAGGGAAGCCGAACTGGGAGCACCTAAATGAAGAGCTGCATGTGCTGATCACAGTGGAGGACACGCAGACTCGTGCCGAGATCAAGATGAGAAGAGCGGTCGAAGAGGTCAAGAAGCTACTGGTGCCTGCAGTAAGTTGCAAACACGTTTATACTCCCCGATCGTACTTGTGGTAGTGAAAGTGATATGTTACCAATGTTTTGACCTCTGAGATCATCTCCACAGACCAGCCCAAGGCTTGTGATTTGATGTAATGCAACAGTGTTGAATCTGGCAAAATGCTCTATCCTGCTTCCTTTTCTGGGTGTGACGCCTTTGTGCATATGGGGTGGATTTTAATCCCACCCTTGACCCTGACTTCAGTCTTCTGCTAGATTTGATATTTTTATCTCAGGCTCCCAACAGAGAACAAATGGCTCTCTGCAATCTGCTTCCCACATATTGCCGCCCCATTCCACCTTTCTATTCTCCGCTCCTCCAACGGTTGCCGCAGGGGGTGGGAGCGCTTAAGTCAGGGTCTCTGGCTCCAGGCTGTTTTGCCTGCAGTGAACAGAATGGCTGGACAGCTGCAAGAGCCTGTTTCCTATCAGGCAACATGGTGGAAAGGCTTTGACCCGCTGAAACACGGCCAGAAGCCATGTGCCGTTCCACCCAGCCATGTGCTTCTCACTTCATTTCAGAGCGGGACACAGAGTCCTGGACATTCTCTGACTGCTCTCAGGCACTCGTTGTCTCCTGTTTCTTTTTGCCGTTTTTTTTTCCATCTCTCTCTTGGCCAGAAAACCCACATTTTGCCCCTTGTTTGGGGATTTTTTTCCTCCTTTATGCTCATATCTCTTGTTCTGTTTGAGTGGGGAGGCCTTAAACCCTCCACACACATGCACATGAGTACACACACACACGCTAGTCGGGAAGAAAACAAACATACACGACTGGCTGAGTGTGTGTGAGTCATTCTGTACTGTGTGTGGGTGGGAAATGAGTAAATGGCTACACGCTCTCCAAATTTTCGCACTGACCCTATGAACCCCTGAGATCAAAGTAATCTTCACTGTGTATATCCCTCTTTTGCCATAAACACACACACAAACCATGCTCAGGGTCTCTGGAGGACTGTATTTGCTCTACTCCTGTATTTCATTCAATGTTACCCAACACTCTTGGTATTTTATACAAAACTAATATCTTTTTTTAGAACAGAATTTTATAGCATAGATCTAACATACTGTACATATTTGTATTTGTTCATCTTTCAATTTTTTAAAGGGGTAGTCTAACCAAAACTGAGAAATGTCATCACTACTCACCCTCATGTTGTTCTATACATTTTTTTTTGTGTGGACCATATAATGACAGGCAATGTGGTTCAGTAGTGTTTTGAGCCCCACTGACTTCAATTGTGTGAACAAAAACATTTGAACCATAATTCTAAAAGCTCCAAAAATACTCAAAATGAGTATTAAATTTGATGTTACCATGGCAACACTATTTACGATATCAAGAATACTTTTTGCAATTTTATATCAGCCGTGTTTTGAAGTTGAAAACAAGTTTGAAGCAGTTTGCGTAAATGTAAGATGATGATTCTTTGTAAGTGTAAGTGTATAACTGTGTTGTAAGTGACACAGTTCCTGCTGCATTATGACCGTGACTTGCAGTAGTCACGACCATGTGATAATTTAATGAAGTTAAGCAAATGATGGCAGAATTTTCATTTTTTGGCTGATCTGTCAGTCCATACAGATAAAGTTCTTCTTAAACGTGCTTTTTCTGCTGGTTCTCTGTGTGGCAGATTGACTATTGCCCTTTATCATGCCAAGCTAAACTGGATTAAATGACAAACCGTCCATCTCAGCCCATGCAGTCTTAATGAAGGATATCGTTGGCTCATTTAGAGGCATGAAATTGTCTTATTAAATACATCATAAAACATACTGGGTCACAGTCTGTTTCCCCTCGACTCTATTCGTTTTGTCATTTTGGAAAGGATTTGATTGGTTAAAGCAGAGAGAATGGGGGCAGTAGCATTTCAGAGCTCTCATAGAGAGGCTCTCTGCTTTATAAACATCTGCTATATTGATTTTTACCTACCTTGAGAGGCAGCTAGCACATTACCACATGAATTTGTAATCCTGGCTTGAGCCCTGAAGAGTTGCCACAGCCGAACGGTTCTCGCTCGCAGAGACCCAAATTGAAATTTTCAGCCTTGCTTAAAGAATCAGTTCCTCACAGCATTTGAATGATCGTCAGACTCTGAGAGAGTGCATGAACGGCGGGTATGCGCGCACACACAGCCTCAGAGGCCAGGGTTAGAAGGGGGTGATTGAGAGATTCGGCTCAAAGGCCCTGTGAACTTTTCAACTCCCAGCGAGAGACAGAGGAAGGGAGAGACACAGAGAGAGATTTGAGTCGAAGGTGGGCTGGTAATGAAGGTAGTAGCGAGTGAGAGGATTAAGGCAGGAATTTAATGGAAGGAAAAAGATAAGGATCGGGCCACACTTTTATATGCGGATCGCTTCCCACAGTTCTTCCACTCCAGTCTCACTTGTCTTTTCACTTACCCATAGCATCACACACAGCCTTTCTGCTGTCGTTCAGATACCCACCAGCCTACTTCCCACTTACACTTACACTGACTGAGTGCTGGTAATCCGTTTATTTCACATTGCAGATATTTTATTAATATATCATATATGTGAATTGATAGATCTTATTCATAGGTGTGCACAATATATTGGGATCCACATCAGTTAATGTCCTTTTTTTATATATTGGTATTATCAACATTTAAAATGATTTAATGGTGATTTTAGTATTTCATTTAATTATTTTTGTTTTAGTATTAATTTTAGAGTATTTTTGTTCAATATTTTTAAAATGAATATGTAATTTAGTGGTTATTAGTCAGAATTTGAATATCTCTAATTATTATGTGTACACATTTATTTCTATCATTTATTTATTGAAATATCTATGACTGTTGCATCAAAAGCAGCTTGTAATGCAATGTAGAGTTTCTTTTTGTTATCTAATTATGCTTGCAAATCTAGGTGCATCAGCATCATATAGGTTGAAAAGGGTTACCAGATGCTGGTCAAACAGTTTTTCTCTCCCTCAATTTCTCACACCCCCTGTCCTCTGACAGGGACATCCTGTCTTTGTTCATGAAAGTGCTGACACACACGTTGACTTGTTCATAGGTCACGGATTACTTTTTTTAAGTAGTAACGAGTAACGAGCAAACACTTCTTTTTAAAAGTAACTTCCCCAACACTGTTCATAGGTCACAGTTTCTGTGACCTATCTGTGGTCACAGACCTGTGTAATCTGTGACCTATGAACAGTGTTGGGGAAGTTACTTTTAAAAAGTAGTGTTTGCTCGTTACTCGTTACTACTTAAAGTAATCCGTTACTTTACTTAGTTACCCCCTTTGGAAAATATTTTTTTACGTTACTCGTTACTTTTTTACTTTTATATTGCTTGAGTTTGGGCAGAACCCAATATCTGTTCATAAATGTGTAGGTCTATATAAAGTTCTACTATGAACTCTACTTATTGAAAAAGTAGAATTTGAAAAACCTGTATAAGTGAACACCAAAGAACAATATTAACTATTGAGCAGTGGTGACAACGCTCATGAAAAATGGTGATGTGGTGACGCCGTTCATGAAAAATGTCACAACGAACCGGCAAAAGTAATGATTATGAATATATCAAATATAGCAAGGAGAAATTTCAATTGTTTATTAATAAACAAGTGTTTTCTGTCAGTGTCGGCTGCAAAGATGAAGTTGACGATGCTGACTCGCGATCTTTGCAGTAGCGAACGTGCCAGAGAGAAATGCACATTTCATACGGATTACATAAGCAGAGAGTGGTCTGTTTTCTTTCGGTTTTAATAGTTTTGTTTAAAAGTACACATTTCAAGCTTTTTATATATTTCTCAGGTATTTGAGGCAAAGCTTATACACTGAGTTTGGACTCATTTATGAGGCGAGCTCCAGTTTATGCGCCGGCACGGAGCTCCTGAGAAGTCCTGATTAAATTGCCTGCTATATTTACTTCTTATTTATTAATCCACGTAGGCCTATTAGCCTACAGTACAGATAAATTTAATGTCGGAGCGGGATTTAAGTGAACGCCGTCTTACCGGTGAGCATGTGGGGGGAGAGGTACAATTTTCGAACAATCATCGAATATTATTTTGCTTGATATGGCAATCCTTAATATTTGGTGTTTTAAATGCCAACCCCTTTTCATCCGGTGGGTAGTATTACTTTTGGTTTGTGCAGTGTAATTCACAGAATTGACTGCTCTTCTACCTGCCTCTGTCACGTAGCCTACTGTGTGGAGCTTGTGACTATTGCAAGCGCGTAGCTGAGAAGACAGTGTCGCTATCAAATCTGTCCCTGGGAAAAGTAACGTTGTGGCGAATTGAAAAAGTAACTACGTTTCGTTTCCAAATTTTCAGTAGTAGTGCGTTACACTACTTTTTACCCGAAAAAGTAGTTATGTTACTGTAACGCGTTACACACAACACTGCCTATGAAACACTCAGGGCAACATCAGGTCCACAAATCCAAATCTTTTTGAGTTTGACTTGGAGCATAAAATTAAGATTTAGCCCTTCACAAATTCAGTTTTATCTGGGTTTGTACATTTACAGCTCAGGAAATGATCAGTAACTTTAGAAGACAAGCGGTTCACCTGAGAGCACAAGGAATAGAAGGGCTGTTGATTCCTTCTAAGATGACAGTTTAAATTTATGATGTTGTGAGAATTCTGGAACAAATCACTCTCTGCAAGCTATGTGATGCTAGTACCCTACTGCTAAACAGAAATAGAGGACGGTGGAGACAAATGCAGGTGTGGAGTATGGACACAGATTAAACACTGATAGCTGTAGCTTGTAAGGTAAAACCCTCTGTTAAGTTGTATCTTTAAAATCATGTTTTTTGTGTGTTTTTTGTTCCTTTACATTGTTCTCTGTCCAACTATTTTTGAACACAAGTTCACATCCTATGTGAACGTCCCTAACAAACACGTCTGTTATAATTATTCAAAGTTTCCTTAAGAACAATTAAAATCAATTGTAAAAAAATTAAAATACAGTTTGCACATCCTTGTTAT